GTCCCAGGCGGGGCCCCCCTGGCCAGTGGGCAACCAGCACCAGGCTACACGTTGCCCGCGTGCGAGGAGCTGCCCAGGAGCTGAACCAAGGGGAGGCTCTGCTGCGGCCCCCAGCTCTGCCCAGCCCACCGCTGGGGTGGTGGGGGGTGCCTTTGGGTGGCTGCAGCCCCCCCGAGCCCCGGGCAGGGCGGACAGACCCTGGCACAGCTGCGGGTCCCCAGCCACGTCCCCCAGGGATGACAGGCTGGGTGCGAGCGCCCGGCGCAGCCCCACACGACCTGGCACAACGGAGGTTTATTTGGAACAAACCGTTTCCCAATAAATTATGTCATTTAAAAATTTTAAAGGAAAAAAAAATAAAATAAAATAAAAAATAGAGCCACAAGGTAGGGACCCCCCCACCTCAGCCAACACACGGGACCCACAGGGCCATCCTTGGGCTGAGCACAGGCACTGTTGGGGAGCAGGGACTGCAGCCCCCTCCCCACATCTCGGGCACCCAGAGGCCACCCAGTCCCTGGCCCCAGCAGCCAGGATCCTGCTTAGTGTTTTGTGGGACAGGCCTCCCTCTTGCACCCCCAGGGGTGCCCCCTCCCAGCTGTGGGTGATCCTGGCACTATAGTACCTCCTTGCCAGAAAAATACCCACCCCACCTGCCCCACAGCGGGTCCCCTGGGTCCCAAGGTGGATTTCTGCCTCCTCTCTCCAGTCTGTAACCTCTATTAGCAGCTTGGAGGGGAGGGGGGACAGCATCCAAGGGCCCCTGACTCCAGCTCTGCCTGGCCACCCACCTGCAGCTCTGCGAGCAGAGGTAGGAGGGGACAGGAGCTGTGTCCTGCTCTGTACCATGCACAGGGACAGCCTTGAAGGAGCAGAGGGCAGCTCACTGTCCTGCCTGACCTGGCCCCTCCATGTCAAACACCATCCCGTGTCCCAGCAAGGAGCTGGGGCACAGGGGAAAGACAGAGGAGAGCCCTGGTGATGGTGGCAGGAGGCTGGAGCACAGGGAGAGACCTGTGCCACATGAGAGGGGAAAGAAGGCCCTGGCCCAGGGAAGAGTCCAAATGTCCAGACAACCTTCCCAAGACAGCCAGGGCCCAGCCTCCA